GGATGTACCAGCAACCAAGTCGCATTAGTAGAGCCCATGCGCACGGGCGGAGTAATGAAAGTTTATTAGTTAGACAGGAAAAAAATAAAAAAGTAAAAATTTTAAAACGTGGAAAAAGTCAAAGTATTTGACTGCTTGGAAAAATATGTTTTAATTTTCGTTGTGCTTAGTTCATACGAAACACTTGATTTAAAAACAAAAGCCAATTGGAGGTGTTTATTTTACGAAACACTTTTTAATAGAAACAAAGTAAAAAAATGTTTATCGCACATTAGCAGAAAAAAGAAAAAAATAGGCTTTACATGTGGTTTAAGCAATTAGTGCTTCTTACATGATGTTTTGACGTTTCTGTTTGTGTGTTTACTGATTCTGCAATACAATATTTGGGCATTTGGTTATGAAAGCTTGCTAGTTATGCGACAAAGTATTTGGTTTTACAGACTTGTTAATTTTGCTACATATTGCTTGTATGTTTGGTTTTAAGTATGTACTATTTCTGCAACACGTTTGAACATCTGGTTTTGTACATAGTTTGACTCTTCGACACAAAATTTGGGCATTTGGTTGTATATACATACTTGATCTGCGGCGCTGTTTGGACATCTAGTTATATACATGAGCTAATCTTGCAACACAATATTTGGACATTTAATTACATACACGCGCTAATCCTGCGACACAGTGTTTGGGCATTTAGTTATATACATGAGCTAATCTTGCAACACAATATTTGGACATTTAATTACATACACGCGCTAATTCTGCGACACAGTGTTTGGACATTTAGTTATATACATGAGCTAATCTTGCAACACAATATTTGAACATTTAATTACATACACGCGCTAATCCTGCAGCACAGTGTTTGGACATTTAGTTATATACATGAGCTAATCTTGCGACAAAAACTCGGCATTTGGTTTTACACAAGTGAGAATATTTTTACTCTGAGAATATTTTCCCTGTTTTGTTTGTTCGCTGTTAAGTAATTTGTGTATATTTAACTACAGATGTTTTGTTGGTATTATATGCGTTTACGTCTGTACTAAATTACCATTGCCATTTCGACCTTTTTGCTTTATAGTTTCAATTTATCCTGCAAGTATGTAATCACTCACGTTTTTCTTTCTCTCTCACTCAGCATGGCTCTTAAAAGACTTACATTTACACGTTGCGTACTTCAAGGTCTAGTTTTCCAGGATTTTGTTACAGTCAGACAAAGTAAGTCATCAACATTTTCTAGCTTCACCAAAAATGTTAATAAATATTTAAAAATGTTATAAAATTAAGTGAAGAATAAGAGCATTAGTTACA